CCTTCTTTGGTATACAACTATACGCATCGCTTTGAGACATAACATCAACTGTGTCAGTATCTTTGAAGAACATATATTTAAACTATCAGGGTCATTTACTAAAGAGGGAATTTAAAGTGAATTTCAATTGTAAGGTCAAACTAAAGGTCAAAATTGCCAAACTAGAAATATACTCTATGCCAGCTATGGTTTCAGTTACTGCTACTCTGGCCTTAAAATAAATAAAATGTCTCCCCAAGAGCAGACACTCAACACTCTGACCTTACATTTGAAATTCACTTTGAATTCCCACTTGGGTAAAAAAAAAATTTAAATAAACCTTGTGTGACAATGTAACATGTGCATAAACAGCTTCATATTTATATTGTATTTTATACACAAAATATGGTACTTCATTTCCATGGAATCTCAATATCTTCTAATAACTTCCTAGAGAATCCATTCATCTTCTTTACTGGTCATTTTCCTGTACGATAAAGAGCATACATCTAACTCATTATGTTTAGTTATATCTAAGCTAAGAGAAACTTATAAACTGAAAGCTTTGAACCATAAAATGGTCCAATGAGCTAGCACGTAGCTTTCTCTTCAATTAGAACAGGTAAGGATAAATTTAACAGTTTAATAGTAGAAAGAAAGTAATATTGAATTAAACACATTTGTTTAAAAATACCTTTAGTCTTTATTGACAAGCCACATAACCCACAGTTCTTGAGGCTAACCACTATCCATATTGCAGTATACTTTGTTTGTATTACTCTTTCAAGGCATGTAACACTACACTTGTCTCGCATGTCTTTGGTCTTGTTTTCTATTGGCCTTTAGATGTTTCACCATAGTAAAGGTTAAAGCCGAGCTCCTGCTGAGGTAAAGTAGGCAGGACAGTGGTGAGCTAAAACATCTCCCACACCAGCCCAGAAAACTTCAAAGTCCATGATTACCTTGCAATTAGATGGCAGTTTCCCCCATGCAGCCATAGGTTGCACTGTGATGGGAGGAAATGATTACATTTCATGGGTTATCAAGAGCAACACTGAGGAGAAACACATGCTTCAGTGTTTCACAATCTACAGGCCCTACACACACACACTACAGCCCCTGTCAACACATGCACAATCTTTACAGCCCCTATACATATGCAAGCACACACTAAATCATAGTCCCTAGCTGCATATCCTACTTATGAGGACAGCAGAGACAAGCAAATGCAGTGCAATCATGTCATTAAATCTGCTTGCGCTGTCCAACACAAACATACAAGACAAACTCGCCCAAATTTTCTACAACCCGACTTGGGGTGGTGAAAATCATTGATGAGCTCCCACATTTTTGTTTCCGGAACTCGATCCCTGACTATATTTAAAAGCATATTAGCATATATATTGATTTAACTTTACCTAAACCTCCTAACACCCTTTTTGTGTCAATGCTTACTATGTTGGGAAGCGAATATACCAATGTCTATGGCTGTTTCACACTTTCAGGGCACTTGCAATTGTATTTAGATATTTACATACACCTATCATATTCACATGCTCAAACATATTAATGCATTTTCCATCATAATTACATTCATACACGCACATATTTATACCTTCATTTATAATGTGTAACAAAAAAACAGTTTAGACGTTTAGATGTTTAAACCCACCAAAAACACAAAGTGCAAGTGAAGCGCTAAAAATAATGTATACCAACGTTTCCCTTTGGTACACACTGGGGTAATGGGCAAATATGCAACATATAAAAGGAAAACCAACAATAGTGCAATACTTTATATATCACCCATAATACATAGTTACATAGGCTAAAAAGAGAAATGTGCCCATCAAGTTCAGCCTTCCTCACATGTGTTTTTTGCTTTTAAGCCAAAAGAAGGCAAAAAAGAAAAAAACCCAATTCTAATTTTGCAACAAATTGGGGAAAAATTCCCTCTTGACCCCAAATGGCAGTCAGATTTACCCCTTCAGACCGGAGGGCGTACTATTACACCCTATTTTAGGCGGCTCTAAACGCCGCCGGGCGTAATAGTACGCCCTCCGGTCTTTCATTACTTACCCGGTCGCCGGTTGATATATATATATATATATATATATATATATATATATATATTTATATGTCTAGGCATGATAATATAGGGTATGCGATTTGCTTAGGCTGGCTCTACAACAACAACAAAAATCTGAACTCATCATGAATCAGAGAGGCACATAGAATGTACAGAATCAAAAGAAGGGGAACATTAATGCCTTTAAATGGTACATAAAAAGATACATTTTTAATTAGAGCACAACATCATTATTGTAATGTTTGGAGTCTAGATGTGTTTAATAAAACCAGCATACTCAATTTCATGTGCTTTTTGGCATGAAATGCAGTGTATTTGTGTGTCTCCCTAAATTATAATTCAGTCTCTGATAATTGCCGTGAGCCATTTACCTGCCTACATTGCCTGTCTTCCCACGGAAATATTACATCTGTTTTTGTTTTTTTTTGTTTTTGGTGTTTTTTTTTTCTTTTGAAAAACTCATAATTTAATGTCATTAACAAGAATGGAGACTTTGCTTACATTTAAGCTCTCAGAGCCAGATTATTGTTATGTTGTTTTTCAAAGCCATCAGTAATTTAATATTCGGCCTCTTTAGCAAATGCATCATCTTTAATACATATTTTTATGTTCAGTACATCAGTAACCTTTGTGTGACCTGGCAAGAGTACATCTGAAAAAGGTAAAAGAAAACAGTAAACCGTCGCAATATTCAACTGTGAATTTTTCCATCAGGGAAAGGGTATTTCTATTACATATGTTTATACCCTTAGAAGTTTGTGTGGAATGGGGTTTCTCAACCTTGTTCCTATCTCACGCAACTATGAAAAGCAACCATTTTAATTCTTCTTCGTCCTAAAACTCCAGTTTTGGCTGTACTACCAGTTGGTTTGTCAACTTTTCAGTTACAAATTTTTTTAATAATAATACTACTATTACCAGTGGATTCTGATTCTGGTGCCCACCACCCTTCTTTGCAGCCCCACCACCAATTTTTGAAAAAATTTAATAAAATCTATTATTATAGTAAGCATTAATGATAAGCGTGTGTCAGAAGAAAAACATGTTGCATCTTCTGCAGTTTACTCTTGATGGTTGGAGAGGCTACTGACAGACAGCAACTAATGACGCCCTGATATATTTTTTAATGCTCTGTGTTCTGTGTATAGAACTCTCAAACATGCTTGATCTACTTGGATTTCTGATCTCACCCATTGACTTTAGATTAAGCCATCTGGTCCTGGACTCCCTAGATGATAGCTCTTTATAATGTTCTGTCTTGTAGGGTTGTCATTGGTAAAGCATCAGAGGGGAAATCGAAGCTCTTGGAAGTTTCCCACAGAGATGTATCTATATCATAGACATAGTCCTAAATTAGAGGGGCAAAGGTTTAAATATAATTTCAGTCAGTATTACTTTACTGAGAGGGTAGTGGATGCTTGGAATAGCCTTCTAGCTGAAGTGGTAAAGATTAACACAGTGAGGGAGTTCAAGCATGCATGGGATATGCACGGGGCAATCCTAGATATAAGAGACTAATGAAAGTATTTAGAAAATTGGGCAGACTAGATGGTTCTTAACTGCAGTCACATTCTATGTTTCTAGGTTTCTATATGTTTAGCGTCTTTCCATATTATGTCTGACCAAGGTGGGTCAGACCAAGAGTTAAATTCATTATCACTTAGAGGTAGAGGAATTAGATTCTTCTAAATAATTGTTTCCACTTTGAAGCAGTGATTTGTGATTGTTTGTCGTGCACACATTCAGCATTCAGGAAGTGAAAATTAGAAGCTATTTTCTCTTTATTGTTACACGCCTTTTTCAATCCCTCATATTAAGCATATAATTAACGTTACATTCCAGAATGTAAATGCATTCATATACTATTAACCTTTATGATTTTTACACTTATGGATTATAAATATAACAAATTACAGTTCAGTTTCAATGATATTCTAAAACATCAAGTTGGGTATTTTTTGATTATGCACTGCATGGTTCATTTGCTTTTTCTCTTTTTATAATTTTTATTTTTCCATCTGGGGTGCTAATTATGGTATACTGTAAATTTATTTCTCAATACTCTTACAAAGTGTGTGTGTGTGTGTTTCCTTTGATATTCCAGGATCTAAACTGATAACAATACATTATAAAACTCAACGGGACTTGGAAGCTTAGCAATCAGTCATTGGCCACTGGTTGCCTCCAAAATGAAGTGTTGTATATACAACTGCTAAAGAAGACACACACACAGCTAAAAGACCTTATTTGGAGGGTGCGCTTTCCAGTTTTACAACTTGGAATTTTAACTGCTGGTCATCATGCACCCATGTCCCATCTGGGACATTATTGAAGCCAGCCAATGTAATTTACCCCCATCAAACTATATATTTTGGAAACTAAGACACCCTAGGGTATTTCAAATGCTAGTATTGTAACACTTTCCAAGCAATAATTATACTACCAGTCTTGGTCAAACGTTTGGGTAGTCTTTTTTTGTGTGTTATTTTTCACACACATTCTACTTTAGACATGGATTTTCAGCTACTGTTAGGTGTTACTGCCAAAGAACACCCCAATATGTGTTGAGCAACATCTCCTGAGTACAGTGATACCACCCATGTACAGGGTGTCAGGTTCTCTGGGGGCTAAAAGACCTTATTTGGAGGGTGCGCATTCCAGTTTTCCAATTTGGAATTTTCACCGCTGGTCATCATGCACCCTGTGACGAAGTGCCCTTCGCCACTTGTGCCTGGAGAGGACTGCTTGCCCGCCTCTTGCCCTGTGACTATGGCCCCTGGGATGTATTGCCCTTTAAAGACATGATTTGGGCATAATGGATTTGTGTTGTGCTGCTGCTGGCCCTTTAAGAACCATCTGGGGACATACTGTGGAGTTACTGGGTGGCCACCATTTCCTGTATCAGAAGCACATGGTGAGAACAATGGATGGCGGCCATTTTAACTCACAGACACTGTTTGGACTTTTCAACACGGTGCCATCTTGCCAGTATTTGGTGCACAGAGACATCGTGCAGTGGTTTTGGACTATACAGCAGGGGACACATTATAAAGTGATTGTTTTTCATTTAGCCTGTATATGTTCTGCAGAATCTGCATTAAACTGTATCTTCCAAAGTACTGAACGGATCTGGGTGAATTTTGGATATGTGGTTCACCCAGATCCCCCGGTTCCAAGGATATACTTTTTATGGGGTTATTGCATGTTTTGGGGTCCCTGTGTGTTTTATGAAACTGTATTATTTCTGGCCAGCAGATAATTGAGCTTTGTGTATTGTAGAAACTCAATTATCTAGCCTGGCCCAGAGGAGGAGTTTTGTGTTGCATAAATTGTGAGTTCTGTGTGCCAGTAAATCAGTCTTGTTCCAGCATTAAGCCTTGGCTCATGTTTGGGGGATTGGAGAAATACACTCTGGGGATTGCTATAATCACTATACTCCCCAGGGTATGATCACTAAGTTCAGCTAAGAGCTTGTTCCTGCTCTCTGGGGAAAGAGAGGTTCACCCACTGGAAGCTGGATCCTGGCCTTGGGTCCAGGGTGGGTGGAGACAGCAGAGACCCCAGCGCAGTTGCATCGCTAGAAGTGGGGACTGCAGTGCTGATGGTGTCGGTTGGAGTGCTTGGAGTCCTCGGCAAGCGCTAGGAGCATTGATTGGCGGAGGTACTCAGTCGGAGTGCCAGCGTTCCGTCACATTTGGTGGCAGCGGTGGGATGGCGTCCTAGTGCGAGGACCAGCAGCTCGGAGACACCGGTAACGTGTGGAGTTACGGATTTATAATTGAGGGCCATCTGCACAGCGTCCCTACCTACAGCAACATGGAGCTAGCAAGACCCTGGACAGCAGCCAGTGAATTGCAAATCCGCCTGTCACAGTGCTATGAGGGTGCTGATTTCATGAAGGAAGTAAAGGCGCGGCTGGTCTGGTTTGGCCCAAACCCTTCAGATGAGGTGGTCCATCAAGTGATGCGCATGTTGAGTGCTGAGAACCAAGACGCACGGAACTTCGAGTACCAACTGTGGAGTTTGGGGGTATTGACACCCCAGTCTCCAGCGACAGAGTGAGTTACAGGGAGAGGAGAGCAGCGACCTCCCATCCCAGCGGCAGTGCACCGTACAGAGGGAAGAGACAACCGGTCTCTCTCCCCAGCGGCGGCCTGAGTTCCAGGAGGAGGTGATGGTAGATCCCTCCCCCGTACAGCAACCAGCGTCCTGGGGAGGGGGGGCAACCGGCCTCCCTCTCCAACAGCAGCCGGACGTGGGCGACCTCATAGACTTGTCCTGGGGACACACAGAGATGGCAAGCGGAGATGGGACCGAAGTCTCTCTGCCGGCCCTACAGGGATGCTGGGCAGTCAGCCTAGGTCCCCAGCGGCAGTATAATATACAGGGAGAGGAGACAACTGGTCTCTCTCCCCAGCTGCGGCCTGAGTTCCAGGAGGAGGTGATGGTCAATCCCTCCACCTTACACCAACCAGCGTCCTGGGGAGTGGGGGCAACCAGCCTCCCCCTCCAACAGCAGCCAGAGATACCGGGAGAGGGTGAAGACAAACCTACCCACACTGGCGCAGATGGGACCGCGGTCTCTGTGCCAGTCCTACAGGGAGGCTGGACGGGCGGTCCAGATCCCCAACCAACTCCGCAGGGATGCCAGGAGGAGGTAAGTGAAACTTCCCCACCCCAGCTACATCCCAACCGGGTCCTGGGGGCAGTGGATGAGCCTGCGATACCCACTGACCCCCTCCCAGCAGAAGAGCTGGCATCTGGGCAGAGCTCTGTTAGCCTCTGCCCCCCCATTTCTCCTGTATCAGAGCCTGACTTACCACGGGTTACCCCAGTGGAAGAGCTGGCAGCAGGGCAGAGCGCCGCTGGCCTCTGCCCCCCAAGCAACACCAGCAGTTTTCCTAGCTGCACCAGGGAGACCGAGAGTGCTGCGCTGTCCCACTACAAACTTGAACCTACAGGCCAGTACCATTTATTGTGGGGGGGTTACTCTGCGTATTGGGCTGCCCGACTAATCTAGGTACTGACCGGCAGAAGGTCAGGTACCTGTTTAGTCTTCCCCCCAAAGGGAAGATGTGTGACGCCACTTGTTACTGGAGAGGACTGCTTGCCCGCCTCTTGCCCTGTGACTATGGCCCCTGGGATGTATTGCCCTTTAAAGACATGATTTGGGCATAATGGATTTGTGTTGTGCTGCTGCTAGCCCTTTTAAGAACCATCTGGGGACATACTGTGGAGTTACTGGGTGGCCACCATTTTCTGTATCAGAAGCACATGGTGAGAACAATGGATGGCGGCCATTTTAACTCACAGACACTGTTTGGACTTTTCAACACGGTGCCATCTTGCCAGTATTTGGTGCACAGAGACATCGTGCAGTGGTTTTGGACTATACAGCAGGGGACACATTATAAAGTGATTGTTTTTCATTTAGCCTGTATATGTTCTGCAGAATCTGCATTAAACTGTATTTTCCAAAGTTCTGAACGGATCTGGGTGAATTTTGGATATGTGGTTCACCCAGATCCCCCGGTTCTAAGGATATATTTTTTATGCGATTATTGCATGTTTTGGGGTCCCTGTGTGTTTTATGAAACTGTATTATTTCTGGCCAGCAGATAATTGAGCTTTGTGTATTGTAGAAACTCAATTATCTAGCCTGGCCTAGAGGAGGAGTTTTGTGTTGCATAAATTGTGAGTTCTGTGTGCCAGTAAATCAGTCTTGTTCCAGCATTAAGCCTTGGCTCATGTTTGGGGGATTGGAGAAATACACTCTGGGGATTGCTAAAATCACTATACTCCCCAGGGTGTGATCACTAAGTTCTGCTAAGAGCTTGTTCCTGCTCTCTGGGGAAAGAGAGGTTCACCCACTGGAAGCTGGATCCTGGCCTTGGGTCCAGGGTGGGTGGAGACAGCAGAGACCCCAGCGCAGTTGCATCGCTAGAAGTGGGGTCTGCAGTGCTGATGGTGTCGGTTGGAGTGCTTGGAGTCCTCGGCAAGCGCTAGGAGCATCGATTGGCGGAGGTACTCAGTCGGAGTGCCAGCGTTCCGTCACACACCCATGTCCCATTTAGGACATTATTGAAGCCAGCCAATGTAAGTTACCGCCATCAGACTACATATTTTGGAAACTAAGCACCCTAGGGTATTTAAAATGGTGGTATTTTTCCTATTATAAAGTGTTTAGGGAGCACCTGGTCCCCCGCCTGGCAAGCATGTACCAAACGTGGACAGAGACAGACGCACCCAACACTGACCTATCGACCGCAAATATTGTCCTCATCCCCAAGCTGGACCGCGACTCCACCAATGTAGCCAATTATCGCCCTATCTCCCTCATTAACTTTGATCTCAAAGTCTATGCAAAGATTCTGGCCACTAGACTAAACGTCATTCTCCCCAAGCTGATCCACGCTGATCAGGTGGGCTTTGTTCCCAACAGGCACCTACACGGAAACACGAGACGAGCGGTTGACCTGATGTGGTGGGCAAATAGGACACACACGCCTTCTCTGGTCCTTGCGTTGGACGCGGAGAAGGCCTTTGACAGGCTTCAGTGGTCGTACATGTTCACCCTCCTTGAGGAAATGCAACTTCCTCCTGTGTTTGTCAGGGCGGTCAGAGCGCTTTACGCGGCACCGAGAGCGCAGATATCGCTCCCGGGAGCACGACCTGTCCCTTTTGATTTAAAAAATGGCACCCGCCAGGGATGCCCCCTCTCCCCCCTCCTCTTCATAGTGGCAGTGGAGCCCCATCTACACCAACTCCGAACTGACAGCAGAGTGCAAGCATCAAAATTGCGTCTGAGGAGTTTAAAGTCTCGGCCTATGCCGATGACATCTTACTTACTCTCACAGCCCCCAGGGTAACAGTCCCCCGGGTCCTTGATATTCTCACTAAGTATCAACAAGTTTCCGGGTACAGGATAAACGTAGGCAAGTCCGTCGGTATGCCCCTTGGGTTGACAGACGCAGACATTACTTGGCTACAGCGTACAACAGATCTCAAAATTAGCACACAACCCATTAAATACCTGGGCGTCCGACTCACGCAAAAACACGACGATCTATACGCGGCAAACAAGCAAGACTAATGCACACCCTGCGCAGGGACTTAGATAGATGGCACGAAAAGCCCATTTCGTGGCTGGGTAGGCTGCACACCTTTAAAATGAATCTCCTCCCTCGCCTCCTCTTCCTCTTCCAGGCACTGCCGGTAGCGGTCACGAGAACTGATATCAAACCGCTGCAAACTGCTATTGACAACTATATCTGGGCGGGCAAGAGACACAGAATAGCGAGACACACGTTATACACCCCAAAAAGCAGGGGGGTTTGGGGCTCCCGAACCTAGACCTTTATTACCTGGCGGCCCACCTTGCGCAGATTGCTGAGTGGCACTCACCCCCCTATACACACAGGTGGGTGGAAATTGAAACACTCCTCATGTGCACCGACCTGCCTCAATTCTGGATGTGGGTGCCCCGCTCTGACCGCCCTGAGCTACGAACCACATGCCCGGCCATTCTGAATTCAATACGAGTTTGGAATGCAACGGCTCATAAATACGCCCACACGCACCCCGTCTCACCTCTGACACCGTACCTCCAAAATAAAGCCTTTCCCCCGGGCATGGCCCCGCAGGATTTCCACGGCCTTGAGGACCCAGGCCTGCAGCGGTACTGTCACCTATACCAGGGCACTACATTCCCTACCTTTGACGACTTAAAGGCGCGAGCTCCACTGACAAGCAGAGACTATTTTCGATACCTACAGGTACGGGACTATGCACGAAAACCACACATAGTGGAAGCGGCCAGAGCACAGCCCACATTCTATGAAACACTCTGTCTAGCAGACGGACCACGTCCCGGCCTTATCATCCGATTATATGAACAGCTAAGTGCCCCCTCAAAGGACTCCCAAACACCCTCATACATATCACAATGGGAAACGGACCTCCAGCAAACACTAGAGAGTGGGGACTGGCAGGACATATGGGAGGCAGCTACCAAATCTTCAATATGCGTAATACACCAAGAACAATGTTATAAAACTGTAATGAGGTGGTACACCACACCGGTCAAGCTCCACCGCATGGGCAAAACACCCTCGGACGTATGCTGGAGGGGTTGCGGAGCTAAGGG